CATTGCTTTCGGCAACAGTCGGCGCATATAACCGCCGATTGCGGCCACAAATGCGCTAACAATTGCCACTTTCGGCACTATTATGTGTTTGAGTCCTACAAAATTGACCGTAAGATTGTGGCCGACCCGGCGAGGGATGTGAAGAGTGTGTGGAGAAAGTATGTGGAGATACGGATCAAACACAATCACTCACCGGATCAAGTGGTGACTCACGTGCCCGAGATGTCCACCGTATCATTCATATCGAGTTTTGGCGGTTTGTTGGGTATGTGGTTAGGATTGTCGGCGTTTCTCATATTGGACTCTGTTTTATGGATTGTTCGCATTTTTCGTATACTTTAATTGAACACATTTTATCATGAATCATGTAGATGTAGATCTGATCTATAGATGTCTTAACTTTTGAAATTCATATTAAGCGCTAAGGTTAAAGTCAATCAAACAGTGTGAACTGATACAGTCGCCAATCAACATCGTTTAAGAAAGTGTTCTGAGACTTAAGACATCTGATTCATGATCATATTTGCTATTTTTATTATTGTGGTTAAATTACATTGATTTTATTATTATTACGAGTTAAACTTTATTATAAAATCTATTGATCAAGTTTTGCATACAATTTTTTAAATTTTTTATTTAACATTAAATGAATTTTGTGTTACAAATATTTATATGTTATTATTTATTTAATTTTTAAATAAAATTTAAAAAAGAATCTAGAGCCAATTCATACTTTCTTTACTGTACAATTGTTTCCTTTCTTTGAGATATTGCTGTCCTTTTGTTAAGCACTTTAATTACAAACTATTAGTTTTTAAAATAAACATTTAATTAGCATATCGTGAATATGGCTATTTAGTAGCAGTACCGCCGCCACTGCCATTACCACCATTTCCACCATTACCTCCGGGGCCACCATTGCCACCATTATTGCCGCCATCGCCACCCGGACCCCCATTTCCACCGTTGCCACCAATGCCTATACCAGAGGCTACACCGCCTCCATTACCACCACCACTATTATCACCGGCACCGCCGCCCCCACCGCCTCCTCCGCCACTTAGACCACTATTCACTGATACTTGACAGACAATATCATTACTCAATTGGCATACAATTACTATAAAGACAATTAAATTGTTTGCAAACATTTTGTGATAACTTTTTAAAAATATTTTCCCGTTTATTGTGTTTTGAAATAATTTATATTAAAGTTATGGGAAATGAAATGATTGTAGAAATTCATTGAATTCAATGCAATGAATTGCACTCTTTTTTCGGGGAAAATTCAAAATTATAAAGTTTTTAGCATTAAATTCATAGATGTTTTCATTGATAGCCCAAAAATTGCATTGTATTTTTATGATGATGATTTATATGGAAATTTTTTACAATCATTGGATTTAATGATAAAAATAAATAAATACATGAAATAATATTTCTTAAATTTTATAACTATTTTGTAAAAACTATTTCCTAAGGATTTAAATTATTGCTGTGTTATTGTATTTTCTCAATGAAAATATTAATTTAACGTTTAATAAATAAAAAATAAAACTTTTTATTTTAATTATCAGACAATATTCTAAAGATATTTTTATAATAAAAATTAATTAATTACCAATTATTAAATTTTCTAATAAATGCCTAAAATTCGCTCATATTTTAATTATTTAATAAATAATTAAAGTTAAACTTTAATAATTTTATAAATAAATAAAAAAATATAAAACATAAAGGTTATTTAAAAAGTTTAATACAAGTGCCAATGCACTCGTTATATCAAATATGTTTATATAGAAGTACTTTCAAAAACAGTTCATTTAATTAAAGAGTATTTTACATTATTTTTTATATTTTTCATTTATTTAATATACAAAAACTTCCATTAATATATTTCTTAATTTACCCAGATTAATATTTATAAATTTATAGCTGATATGTATTGAAATTTTGGGCTACAAAAAATAATATACCGTTTATTGTACGATAAAAATATGAAAAATCCTTGAATAATACTTTATTATTGAGATATAAAACAGTTTTATGTTTTAAAAATACATATTTTTATGTTGAAAGAAAAAGTTATATATTTTTGAAAAATGCATTTGAATTTTAAACACCAAAAGAGAAAGTGTTTCAAAAATACTATTAGGTATCAAATATCAAAAATATTTAATATTTAGTTATAAAACATATTTTCAATTAAATTTTATATATAAGTTAACGCTTTGTGTAATAAACATCACATCATTATTTTGGTTGAAAACTATGTCCAAAAACATGGATCTGTGTGTACCATGTTGTTTCAACAAGGACATTTTTCACTTTAATAAACGTAGAGTCTGTATTAATTAAGATTCCCATTTTGTAATTTAAACTAACATTAATGCTATTTAATTACTAAATTCATTGCTAGACATATAGTATACGTGAAGACAATCACCAAAACAATGAAGTAATCAATCAGACAATGGATGGACACAAGAGGTTGCGGACAATGAGGAGGATTGGGGTCCGCATATTGAGGATTGCAATCATTGTATTGGACTAAACAATGCAAATATTACCGACATTATTGATGCCATCAATTGCTGTGAATTACACATTTAATTTGCAAATAAAACTATAAATTACATAACTATTTAATTTAATATAATTAATATATGCTGTGCTATCAAATATAATTTGATTAGTAGTTTTTAATAGTAAACATCATGATTTATTATAGGGTTTAATTTTTAAATGCTAATTATGTTAATTAACTAATTACTCTAGTTTATTATCAAAAATACGGTATTAAAATTTATTTTTATTAACGATTTTAAATTAATTCCATGATAAATTAATATTATATTTATGCTTCTTATTCAACTAATTTTTAGCAGATATTTAAACAGATTTTTATGTTAACAATTAAAGTGTATTATCAAGTTTATACTGAAAACAATAGTGTATTTGTTCATGTATTATGACGGTGATACAAGGTAAAGCAAAAACAAAAGCTTTTGGTACTTTATAATGGTTTTAACATTTATACTCACTTAATGTGATTTAACAGTAAACTAAAATACAAACCATAAAATTAAATCGGATTTTAAATTAAATTACAAATTATAACTTTGGGTCAAAATGTTTGGTTCGCTAACAATCCTATTCACAGCACTTTTGGCGTTGAATTGCATTCAATTGTTTTCATGCAATGAATGCAAAGAATCGGCCAAAAAATGTAAAAAGTTTGAAGAGCTCGCCGGAGACGGCTCGTGCTTTTTGTCCTGGGCTAAGACCAAGTGTCCTAGTTAGTTATTGTTATTATTACCATTATTTTCCTATTATTTATCATTATATCATGCTTATTTAACTATATGATTTTATTCTTAATCTAATCTAGCTGAAAAATCAGTAATATCGCAGGCAGATGTGGACACGTATAAGGCTTGTGTCAAAAAACACGCCGAGCCCTGCATTGTATGTGAATCACCATGAACAAATTACATTTTAATAAATTACCAATAAGTATATATTATATTTATAATTAATTATATTTATAAAACTAGCAAGGAAACACGGTGCTTAAAACTATGTACGTGGATTTGTTGGGCAAGTTTGATTTAACCAAGATGTGTGATCCTGCGCATCAAAAAAAGGTTTGTGTAGTAATTATTATTATATCTATGTTGTTGTTATGTAAATATATTATTTAATTAAAATTAATGAAAATTAATTTAAAACCAATCAACCAATCATTTAGGCTGAGAGCTATGTCGTGGAAGTGTTGGAGAAAAACCCCCACTTTCTGGAGAAAGAGCACGAGAAAGAGTGCTCAGTGCTCAGGGAAGCTATGGAAGAGACCAAGGTAATTATTGATATATTTAAATAGAATTGCAATTATATAAATTTGTAATTAATTAAAATTTTACTTATAAATGTTTGTATTTTTTTAGAAATGCGCCAAATTTTAAATGCAATCAAATGTCTGTGATCTAAATTAAATCAATTAATAAATATTTGACTTGTTTAATCATTGTTATTATTAATTTGATTAATAAATATTTTTCAAAACACTGTTTGTAACTTTATAAACATTTTATTCAAGTTAATTAATCTTATATTTGTTATATCGTACTATTGTCTAAATCATTTTGTCTAAATTTTAAGATTTTTAAAGTTCTTTAAAGTTAAAATTGACAATAAATAGTTAGTCAAATCACAATTTTGATTGACCAAATGGATATAGGACAATCATAGATCTTGGGTACAAAGTTACCTTAAAATTCTAGATTCTATGTTTATTTTAACTAATTATGATATTTTGTTTTACGTGTTTCATAAATTAATTTTAAAATAATTTTTGAAGCCTTGTTCTCTCTCTCTCTCTCTCTCTCTCTATCAAACGTGGACAACTCAGACCCTTCTTGGACATTTGGTTAATTATCTGCTATATAAAGCAGGTGGGTTATTGAACAAACGGGTAATGAATTATTAAGGTCAAAGATTTTACCAAATTAACAAGTATAATTTACTTAGCCCTATTACCATTTTATTTTACTGTATTTCATTAAGAATTTTAATAAACAGGTAAATTAAATATTAATATTGAAGGTTAATTGTGATTTGAAATAATTAAAAAATAACCAATAGTTTTCCATTAAAAATAAAATTTAATTCAACGTATTTTAAAATAATAAAAAGTTTTAATGCGTAAACTATTTGTACAGATTTAGTAAAATACTATTGTTTAACAAATAATTTCATTAATAGTGCGTTAAATTACAATTTAATGATTTATTAAATCAATAATTATTTAATTGTATCAAACATTTTGTCGAAAACAACAAACAGCTTGATCAATATTATAATTAAAAGTCCTTAATGTAAATGTAATCAAAATATACATTTAATTTAAGCTAAATAACCGGTATAATAATTATGAAACAGTAAACACAGAATTATTTACCACGTAAAATAGTAATTAATTTATTTGTTATTTCAAAACAATTGAATTAAACAAAACTATTATACATCTATTTGTCACTAATTGTACGTCAGTTTTGTTACCATATAAATGCCATTTGATTTACACCACTCAGCCTCAGTTGATAAATACTATTAAAGATATCAATTGTTTTAATTAAATTAATTAATCTCATAAAAATGAACAAGGTGCTGGTGTTTATGACGCTCGCAGTGGCCGTAATCGGGCTCATCGACTGCAAGTGCGATATGTTAAAGGAGTTTAAGCCTGAATTTGACGAGATTCAGGCCTGGGCTAAGAAACGGTGCGCAAACAGTAAGTAAACCACCTTGCTAAAATCACTTGTTTTTAAACCACCTAACCATTTAAAATAGCATAAATATAACCATGTACAACTAAAATTAACTTATATACTGCCATTAGATGCCAATTTGAGCCAGGCCGATTTGGATAAGGCGAAGGGTTGTCACACAAAACATATTAACCCACATCTGACCAGTGCTGACGGAAAAGTGGTCCACAAATTTCTGGAGCAAAGAGTGTTTATTAAGGAAACACTAGACGTTTGCACTAATAAAGGCACTCAGGATAGGGTTTGTACAATTCACTTGACTCTATTTGTTAATGTTTAACAATTTCTATTAATATTGAATAATTAATTACTAATTAATTTAACTTTGTTAAAATGTCACCATGGTAATGATCAGCTTAAGAACCAGGGTATGAGCGAAGTGGGCGTTTCCCGGGGTATGAAACTGAAGAAGGAGGTGGAGGCCAACTGTCCTAAATTCAAAGGAGGTTTCCAGGGCTATAATGTAATTGACATTGATCATATTTTTAATATAATATATAATATTTATCAATTAATTACAATGTTTGCTTTATTACAGAAATGTGTGATGGCCTAGATGATCAGTTTTGTAAAAAATAAATACAATTATAAGACAAAAAGTTTTTATAATTTAAATCACCGGTTTTATTAAATTTGATAATTTAATAATTGTTTGTATTGTTAACTATATTGCATCGAAACAAAATTGTTTAATAAAATGCCTTTAAATTAACTATTATTAACTGACGTTTTCAAAATCATTTTTCTAAACTCATTTATAAAAACAATAATAATTGAATTAATTTACTTATAAATGTGCTCTCTTTTAGCCTTTAATTTTTTATATCAAAGTATTCAATTATTGTAAATAAATACATAATTGTAATAATCATAATAATTAATTGTAATAATGATAATTTTAATTTAATAATTGTTAGACACAATATTGTCACATAATGATTAAAGAGATAACACCTTACGATAAATGAATTTAATTAGAAATAGAAATAATAAGAATTATAATCACATAAAATTAATTTTAGGTTTAATTTCGTTGATTGCTAAGTGAAATTAAAATAATTCAATAGAAACCCAGTTAATTATATTATTTAAAACTCCCCTGGTATAAAGTGTTAAGCATTGCTGTAGATATTTTTAATCTAATATTATGTATAAATTGCTATTTAGTATAAATTAATTTTGTATTGATGAAATAAATTTTTAATTACAATTCAGCTATGAATATGAGGTTTCTAGGATTGTTCGGCCCACAAAATGTAATTTGTATATACTGTATTCTTAATTGACCACATTGATTTAAAACCCATTTTATAGCATTTCTAAAACACCTTTTGAAGGTTACATTCAGTTGAGATTATCTTAAGATCCAAAATAGATAGAGTTAAATAGTTTGCATCATTTTGTAGCTGAATAAACATAGTTATCATATTCCATATCACATTGAAAATATATCTACTAACAATTAATATTAGTTAATTATAGTTTTTTAAAGTTATCTTAAGTTATATTCCTCAAATGTTAATATATTTTCATAATTCAAATGAATGAAATTTATATTTTTTAATTTGTATATTAACTTTAATGTATCAAGTGTAAATATTATAAAACAAGGTTAGTTCTATATACATAAAGGATTACATTAACAAAAAAATTACAAATAAATTAATAGTAACCATACACAATTATTTGTAAAGTATATGTATACCTTATAATATTAATAATATCTATAACAATATGCATAACAATGGATAACAATATACTGTACATGTAAAATATGTGTGTATATTGAATAGGTGTGCAAATCTATTACCGGTACGTCAAACGTTATTGCAATATATTTAATGATAGTGTAATTGCATTCAAAATACATTGTAATAATTAACAATAAAAAATCAGAGCATTATAAGTAAATTCTGTGAAATTACATAACAATTGGGATATATTTGCAAATACAGGTGAGTTAAGGCACGTTGAGGTACCTGTATATTTGAAACATGGTAACCATTCCGCAATTTTTCTATAGTTAATTTTATTTTTACATTGTTAGGGCTAATAATGGTTTTACAAATAATACAGCATTAATAGTAATGTGTTAAACAAATAGTGGTTTTTATAATATCCTTTCCATTAATGCTTTACATTTGAATAGAAAATTATTACAAATTTATTTTTCAATTTAAGTTTCAAAACACCAAGATTACAATTTTTAAAAATTACTTCAAGATGAATTATTGCTTTATTTTTATGCTTTTAATTGCTTTGTGCAGCGCTTTTATAAGCGACTCATTTATAAATGTAAATCATATATTTGGCCAAAGCGGAACAAACTACAATCAAGGTGATTATTTATATAGTTTTTATTTAATTTATTTGACAAATTACTATTTATAAATACCAAATACTAAATTATTGAATCAAAATTATTTAATCTATCAATTTATCGTCATAAATAGACGATTTTACAAAAATGACCAAGCGTACTGTATTGGCAAGCAACATGTTCAATCACTCAAAGGTATATCAAATGTATAGATCACTAATTAAATCGTTTACTAATATATTAAATATTTTATGACATTTTTAGGATCAGTTGTTTATGGAAAGTAATTTACAGCCATTTTCTGACACTTTACCGATAAGTGTATGGAGTAGTCAATCAAATGACTTTCAGTTATTAGAAATTAATTAAATTTTTAATTTACAATTTTAATGAAAATATTACTATTATGTAAAATATAAAGTAATTATTATATAATTGTGCTAAATATTATTTTATTGTAATTTTATAGACATTACATAAAGTACAAAACATGAAGTTTATTAAAAAATTAATTGTTACCTTATTGTTTTAGACTATAACTTATAGTGTACTATAACTTTACTAAAAAATATTAACAGTATATAGATTTCAAAAATGAATCACCAATTAATTGTGTTAATTAAATGTTTAATATTAAATATAAAATTTAAACCATTTTAATAAAATAATCTAAAAATTTATTGATATCTAAATGGTTTTCTCAACATATTTTTAAATGTCTATCAAAATTTCAATAAAAATTAAATCAATTAAATCTATCATTAAATATATCATTAAAATAACAATTAAAACACTGATACCAATAATTAACAACATGATCATTAAATACAAACAATGTAAATGTGGTATAGTTTGTATTGTATAGACAAACAAAAGACAAAATCATTAAAACTTTTGCCATTAAACGAAATATCTTTCTCTAAAAATAAAACACGAAATAATTTAACGTAGAATTAATGCATGAAATTATATTATTTGTGAAAATGATGAAAATAAATGGCATAAGAATAGTATTGATTGTATCATTAATTGGTTTGTATGAGTGCGAGGAGACCACTACAGAGGCGGGAGGGGTGGAAGTGCCCGAATGCAAGTACCACAAAGTGGACGGAGTGGCCGTCTGTCCAAACGTGACCAAAGGGGGAGCCATACCGAAGCTCATGCAATGCGCCAACAAAATGAAACACGACTTTATGGGCTTTTGTAAAAGTTTGTATTCAAATTCAATCGGGTGTTAAGTTTGTTAAAGTTATGATGATGTTGGCGTGTTTTTCATACCAAACCAGAACCACCAAGCCCAGAATTGTTAGAAAAGGTGCAAGAACAGTGCCTCATGGCGTGCGTAGTGCCCTGCGTGCCCACCGACATGACCGCCCTCATGGGTGATTGCGACATAGATGTAGGTGGCATGGAAATCAGCATGGACATGTTTTGCGATAAGAAAAAACAGAAACTGGTATTTAATTATATTGAATGTTTATGTATTATCATTTAAATAACATACAAATACTAACCATGATCATTTTGATCTATGTGTGTATATTGTAGGGCAAGTCGTGTGCGTCGGCTATGTTTAAGAAGAATAAGAATAAATACATGAATTTGTTTAACAAACAAATTCATTTGGTTTGCAAACTTTGTTTCAGTTTTTATGTCAGTTATTATTATATGAATTTTGCAAAATTGTATTGAAATTGTTTTTTTCTCATTATTTATAAAACAGGATTGTTATGCGAGAATCAAGAAAGAATTGGGTATTAATTAATGTTAAATTAAAGTTGCATGTACAACTTGCATGTATTGTAAAACTATGGTAAATCATTGTGGGATATATTATAATACATACAGTTACACATCAACTCTCAATAAATACTGTATTATAATTAAAAACAATAATTATAACTATTTATAAAATAAATAATAAAACTGAATAATTTAAATAATTTAAAACTAATAAAAAATATTGACTAATTTTGTTAGAAAAATTGAAATTTTAACAGAAGTAGAAGGTGGAGGGGTTGGTATGATGAGGGGTAAACATCTAGTGCTAAATAAATATACAAGTTTGTTTTTGGTAAGTAATTGTAATGTTATTTTTATTGGACATTAAAAGCGGTGTAAATATGAAATACAGTACAAATGGTATTACAAGTAAAAACAGACAACGAAATCATTTTATGTATTTTATTAGTGATATTTGTAATCATTATTTGTTATAATTTTTGTTATAATAAATAGGAAAACATACTTAAAAAGTGTTGGAAATGTATTTTTCGATACAAATAATTTAATTAACAAATAGTGTATAGGATTAGTAGTGGAAAAAGTTATCTCGATTGTTTATCGTTCGTAATACATGTAACATGTACAATTGTTGTAATCATGTATTAAAACAAATAATTAAAATTTTGTTTCATGTTTTGTTAACAATCATTCATTCATACAATCAATCGCTCATTCATACAGTGATTGATAGGAGAAATGATACAATTTTTGGGTAAATTTAAATAAATTCAGTTTTAACTCGTTGTGTGAAAAATAATAATGAAAAATGAAGGTAGAAATGAAAATCACATGTAAAATGAGTGAGAATTTGTATCATTTGAATCCGTATTGTTTTTACATTAATTTTTTAGAAAAACATTGTTATACTGTGTGTTATATAAAAACACATGGTAATTGTTTAATAACTAATAAGTTAATAACTTATTATCATTATTATTATTCTTATGTATATATATTTATATTTCACAATCCCTTCACTAATGAGTGTAATCTTAATCTTAGTCCTTATATACCGTTTATATATAACTATTCTATCATTTAATAAATTAATTAATTAAATGAATAGAAATCATACAAAATATTTATATTTATAAATTAGTTGAATATTTATAATTATAACGTAAACCAAAATCCAATGAATGTGTTATTAAATGCTTTTAACAAATATTAATAATTATTTTTATACATTAAACGAAATAATAGATGAGAGAAAGACTGACGACATAAATGTTACAAATATATTACATTGAATTAAATAATAATTATAAAAAACATCAAAACCTTTCTGTTTTAAGTATATATAATATATTTATATATCTATAAGTTATAGACTATAACTGTGTGTTTCATTTAATCATTGTTTTCGTTTACAAATAAATAAATAAATAATTATAAAACAAATTAAATCAAAAACACAGAGACATGTATTATCCGCACATTTCTGACCACAACATACACAGGGAATGAATAAATTGATAAATAAATTAAAATAATAATCATTATAGCAAAATCATTATAATCCCGGTCGTTCATTGTATTATAAATCATAAAAATTAATTTAAAATAAATACTCAAAATAAATAATACTTTGCTTTTACAGTAATAGTAATCATAATTAGACTATAGTTTTGTACGTTTGCGTTATTTATCAGTTAAATAATACCTTAATTGTAATAATTATTGATAATAATTATAACAAATGCCCACAAAAATAACTTAATGCCAAAAAATTAAACTCAAACACAAAATACATTGGGTTTGGGGAGAGAATGAGTGCGAGAGATAGCAAACACAGTCCCCTCAAAATTTTCATCACAAAACTAGTAGTTTTATACAATAATTATCATTACATTTAAAAAATTGTCGCGCTTTTCATTTGTGTGTAGAAAAAAGTGTATTTCCAAAAATGTTACCGATTTTCGGGGAAAACGACACATTTTCCCGCAAAAATGTTACCATATATTTTGATGCGGGAATAAAATGCTTTGTAAAAAACGGGTTCCCGATTATTGACTCCCAAAAACACCACTACTATTAGTGAACGGGAATAATGTTTTCACAACTATTTTTGTTTGTCATTTGTTTTGATTTTTTGTTAAACAATTGTTTTGTGTTTAATATCTCTTAAAGTGATGTTTTGTGTTTCGTATTTGTTTTGTACACTAATCTCTACAACCATTTCCCGCACAACTACTACCACAACAACCATATTATCATATGGGGTGTGTGTATGCGGGGGTCGGGTGGGGCTGAGGGGGAGGGGGTGTCCACTATTCCTACTATTCTGTCATTTATGAATACAATTAAATGGATGTAAAAACTAAATACGCTATAAATAACGGCAAAACTATACCACAAAATACTGCTATTTTACGGCAAAATAATCATAAATTAATAATCAATTAATCGTTTGTCTAATCAATTAGTTTTGTTTGTGAGAGAAAAACAAACGATTGGTTTAAGCGATTAATTCGTAAATTAAAATTACAAATAAATTAAATATAAAAAATAATTTGTTATAAATATCATACAAAATACAATACAATTGGCTAAACACGTGTGGGTGAGAGAGAAATGGCAGTTCGGATAACTCTATACACAATTAGAAATATATTAATAATAATTGATTTAATTATTAGTTCATAAATTAAACACCAATTTCTCGGCCACTGTTTTCACGGCTCGTTTCGGTCATAAAAACCGCAATTTTTCCATTCATTCAAAACCAATCGATGAAATAAATTATTGTTTTAAAACTAAATGAATTTAACGTATAGTACAGTAAATACTGTTTATGTTCAGTAAATAAGCATAAAATGCATGTCATTTAACACCTAAACACTAATACACTATAAATCAATTGCTTATTAAAACAAAACAATTAGATTTAGACATTAATTAATGGTTAGTCAAGGCATGGATTTTGATGATGATATGAGTGGTTATTAACGTCACATTTGGTGTTATTATTATTTAAAATCAGTTTTATATTATCGTCGGTTGTATCACATGATGTCTTCAGACAATCCACGGCAACAGCGGTGGTGGCGGTGACCGCAGTTGTCGTCGGCATTAGCGGTTCGGTGGCCTTCATCAGCAACAGTGTGTTCAGATCGTCAGCACTGGCAGTACTGCCGCCTATGGAACCGCTTGTGGTGATCGACAGCTGCGACGAGGAGGACATTGTGGAGGCCGTGTCGGACGTGTTGGAAGTCTGCGTGATATACAGTTTGGGATTCGGGCCGCCATTTATTTGTGGGGGAGAGAGAAATGGCAGTTCGGGTAACTTTATTCACAATCCATACATAGAAAAAATTATGTCTGTAAACAGTGCACAACATCTGACCAAAATCTCGAGACCATTGTTGAGAAATTAATTTACTTTTTATTTTCACGGGAAATGTAAGCGATAGGGGCTGTAATTGTTGACCACAATACCCATTCAGAAAACAAAGTCAATAATTTTGAACATCCCCTCCCCTCTAAGTCTCAGATAAATTACAAAGATTATTCAAACGGGTGGCAAACTGTACCAAAGTATGCCTCCATCGATCTTATTGGTTGGTGCTTAACTGTTATGTCCAATATATGCATAATTATTGCTAAAGTGAAGCGAAAATGAACTTCAATGAATCAAATATAGACTCAATTTGTACGACAAAACGATTTTATTTACATATAGTGTACAAAAGGTCTTATAGTTAACGACAGGAGTGTGAGCTCTGCCGGAGATACATATAAATGTTGACTGAACGGGTGTCAGGCGTGTACTGATGGGTGCGGGCTCTCGATGTCTCGATTGTACTGACTTTATGCGGGAGTACTTGTGCTCATGCGCGCGATATACAGCTTTATTGATGACGATAGAGGGGAAGAAATTCACTTCCCTCTCAAAAGTTAATATCATTATTCCGATGCTTTGATCAGTGCAGTTACGAGTAAACATAGTACTTTACGACTTAATATTGCACCCACATCTCCTAGGTATAACCAATGTCTTGGCCAATGTGCCCACGCATCCCAGGTATAACCAGCACCACGGGGAATTCACTGTAGAAAAAACTGAACGCCGAATGGAGACCGCGAGTCAGACCCTCCGAGGTTAAACTAAGTCAGTCTAGGTTAGGTTTTATCAGAGTGGGCGAATCATAGTCTGCAAGTGAACCGAGACAGAGTTAGGTTAGGTTAGGTCATATTACTTTAGGTTTTAATAAGGGGCAGTTATTCAAAATCGTCGAAGTAGACAAGTTGAATCATAAACGAAAAGAGAGTAACAGCGATATCGAGCATGTCAAATAAATACTGGCAAGAGGCATTGCATGAAATACCGCAAGCAACACTCTGCGAGCCACCTCAAACAGAAATCGCAAGAAAAGAGCGCGAGACAAACACCGCAAGTTAAACGGCGAGAAAGACCCAGAAAAAGTGACCGTCCACAGATAGCCAAACAGTCCCCGAGATATACGGCAAGCCAGAGACAGTGATAATGACCTCGAAACAGGCCGCGAGAAGAGACCGCAAGACAACGACCATGGAAGAGACCGTGAGACAATGACCGCGAGACAGAGACCGCGAGACAGAGACCGAGACAGACAGCGGGAGAAAGACCGCGGACCAGATACCGCGGGACTAAGACAGATAAACAAAGACCAAGACAGAGACCGCGAGATAGAGCCCGAGACAGACAGCGGGACAAAGATCGCGGACCAGATACCGCGGGACAGAGACCGAGAGACTAAGACTAAAACTGAGACCGAGAGACAATGACCGCAAAATAAAGACCAAGACAGAGACCGTGAGACAATGACCGCGGGACAAAGATCGATACAGACCGCGGACCAGATACCGCGGACTAGATACCGCGGGACAGAGACCGGCACAGAGACCAAAACAGATACCGCGAGACAAAGACCGCGAGATAGAGACCGCGAGAAAAAGACGGCTTGACAGAGGTCGCGAGACACTGATCGCGAGACATGC